ATTAAATTTTAATTAAATTGTATAATCTTTGATCACTAATCCACATTTTTAGTTTGATATTGATTGTTCTTGTATAATTACGTCACTGTGAGCTGTAATTGATTTTGTTAGCAGCAGAACATGCCTTTATGTTCTAAGTCCTTTTTAAATAAGAGACTTATTTAAACCTTTGTCTGATATTGTAGTTACTTTCAGCCTAGCGATAATTTGCTTCACGTTTGTCGGGGGGTTGGACTATTTAACTTTACAGATCAAGTAAACCCTCATAGTACATTGTGGAGAGGTGAAAGTTAGGAGATAAACACAGAAACTATCAATAGCATGGTTGCATATTGAAACAACTCTAATTGTTAGAAAGATGCTTATAGAGAATGAAAGCAATATAAACTAGCCAAAATGTTTGGGAAGGCTTCAAATTAAAATGATGATAAATATTGTTGAGGGTTGTGTTACAAAACATAAAGTGTTTTGTGTAAAGCTCAAAACATTTTGTGTTTGTATCGTACAAAACATAAATGTTTGTAGCCGTTAATGTTTTCACATCATAAGAATTTTAATGTCATAAATTATATTTTTTAAACTGTGAAATTTATTAGATTTTGATTTTAATAGGCTTTTTTACAGATATTGTTAAAAATAAATTTAATAGTGGCCATGTAAATCCTAATGACTAAGTATGTAATTATTTATAACTAACTGATTACCTTAAAATTATCTCTACATTAAGGCGAGTTATTGCCTTCATTAATACCCACTGTGGTTCACAAATAAAACACAAAAATGTAAAAATCAAGTTAAACTTTTTTTTATCTGTGATTGAAAGAATACGAAACAACTTATCATCTCTGGTGCTTTATGAATTATTAGAACCTTAAAGTAATTAACTGGGTTACACCCCTGGAACTCTACACGAAGCTATGAAACAATCATGCAAACAGAGCCTGATGAAACTTTTCAACGCCAATCGTGCCTACATCAGGCCTTAGGTTCTAATCGGCAGGTTCTCTCTCCAGACAAGCAGCAACATACAACATTCATCTTTTGTTAAAATCATGCTGTTATATCTTTCTCATTTTAACTATGCGTTTGACACAAAATCTACTGCTATTTACTACCTCTAGACTGGACCAGTATGTGACAAAATGAGAATAAAAAAATTAACATAAAGCTAACTGTTAGTAAACGTAAATGTCACTTATCTTCTTTCCTATGTCCCAACTATACAAGTGTGAAATATTTAATGTACTTGATAAACTAATAAGTTTATTATTCTCAAATTATTAATAATTATGTAATTTATTCATGTTAGTAATAATGCATACTACTTAGGGATCTATTTTATTTTTAGGATGCTATTACAAAAGTGAAATTCAGGCTTAAATAAATTTTTAATTGAATTTATTTGGTTCCCATTTGCCCATAACATGCTCCATAACATAGGTCCTTTTTTTTTATTTCATTAAAAGTCCTTAAAAGTACTTAATTTCCATGTGCAGAAATGTATATGAACCCTGTATATTAGGCAAGGGGAGGGTTGTCAGTCATCGTTCCCCAAGAGGAAGAAGCTCACCTATGCTGCCAATCCAAGGCTGCAAACTTTGAATATCTCTGCTACCATGGTTTCCTCCTGGGCTTGCGGGGTCACCCCTCCTGGTTGTCAGGTTTCACTGTGGTAAAGACATGGACACCTGGAGATCTGACTGGTAATTTAAAAATGCTCCTGCCAGTACTACGCAGGCTCAGACCCTTATCCCTGTGTGCCAACCACACCAAGCAGAGAACAGAGTTCTTACCTCTCTCATCAAAGGGTAGTAGTCTTCGCCAATCCACCCCCCCTCAGTCCAACCATATAAAGCGATCTTCCTTCGGGGTTCTGAAACTGCCAAGCTCACGTATTTTTACAAGATTTTTTACCTGTGTGGCCGAGACTGCCTAGGTACAGATTCTAGCCAGTAGCTTCACAGAGTTGTCTGCATCGATCCCCAGGGGAAGGACATGCAATACATAGTGCGACTAAATAGATACGGCACTAACATCTAACTCCATGGCAAGCTCTCGAGTGGTTGCATACTGATCTTCTACAAGTTCTCTCAGGCAGGCCTCATCAACATCAGCAGGCCAGCCAGAGATCTATGCTCTTTGAATGTTTTAGTCCTTGTTTTTGAACTTTTGGTACTAAATCTTCACAGTTGCATATGATACAACATTAGTACCTAAAGCTGTACACAAGATTTGGTGATATTCTGAAGCTGACTTTTTGCAGCAGAACTGAAAGTAAATGATGGTTTTAATCTGGTAGCATAATTATTCAATTTCAGACAACTTGTACTTAATGAAAGCAATATTTGTTTACAGATTTCACAGCACAGTGTTCTGAAGAAAGTCTCTTTCATTCAAATGCCAAAAATCGTATGACAAAATATAATTAAACATGCCAGTGCAAACTCTTTGCACAGATTATATTTGCAGTGACGGGGAAACTTTCATTTAAACCTGATATATAGATACATGTTTGAAAGTAGCTAAGTGGTCAGATAATCATATAGAATATAAAGACAGAATATAAAGATGTCATTTAGAAGACGGGCAAAAGTGGTGAGTTTTTTTTATACATTCAAATTAGATCAAATATAGTTGGATAACTCTAAAGAGCTAAGCATTCTATACAGAGTGACTTCAGGTATCTCGATTTTTATCATTATTATTTTTTTTTTTAATTTCAAGCATGGGAAATATTAATTATCTTGCTGGCTAGTATTGTCAGAGGATAACTATAGCATATGTAAATTGTTACTGGTCATTATTCACATGAAGAAACCATTATGCAACTGCAATACAGTTGGCTGTAGACATCTCAACAGCCACTGGTACTGGAATCCATAAACCTTCTGCTTATGGAAGGCTTTAAGAATGTGGTCATTATATGAAAACAAGAAAACTGCTGTGTTGTATTTTGCCTTCTAGTCTGTCAGAAAGAAATTTTTAACATGGGGTCATCTCCATCATCAGTTAAGCCTAGTTGATTAGTCCTGATTAATGTTAAAAAGTCACTGTTTTCATAGCAATTGCATGCTTTTCACCATCACTAGAATGCTTTCTGAAAATCTTTTAATTGAAAAATGCATAGCAGAAGTGCAGTTCAGTCTGGATATTCCTTACACTGTGTCAAGTCGTAACTAAGAATATAATTTGTAATCAAGATCCTGAGATGAAATAATAGGCTTCAGAATGAAGGACTTGAATGAACTTGACTCAGAATGAATTCACCAAGACCCTAAGAGGTTAAGAAATGCTAGAAGTGCAATGGAGATGATGTTAATTTTTTTTTTTTTTTTTCCCCTGTAAAGATTATTATGCACATTCTGTAAAATTTGATAGTAAATAAGGTGTTTTATTTTTATGGTAATTTTATTGTTCCTCAACCTGCTACTTATCAAATTTAACCACTGATATTTCTTCTTCTTTTTATTTCTGGTGGGTAAATTAAGAGTGAAGGATTACTGTTTTGATCTGACAAGAAACAAGCCAAAGTGCAGAATACACTTTTATTGAAAGACTTAAAGGAAGCATTCTGATCATTGTAGAGTGGTTGTTATCTAATGTAGAAATCTGTAAGGGAATTACTTTAAAGGAAATAGGAACTCGGTTAAATTCAGACAAGTTTTAAAACTAGGTTGTTTTTGTCTGTTTTCTGTTTGATGACCTGGTGATAATTAGTTGCTTATGATTGTTGAAGAAACTAATTGTTCCTTATTGTAATTTTTTCAAATCAATTTTATGTTCCATCTGACACCTGTTTGTAAATGCCATACTTGCCTTGTAAGCTTCTTGTATGCTGAATTTTTGTCTATAAAATTAATCAAAACATGCAGTCTGGTTCTTGTTATTTATCAGATGTCTCAGTTTTGCAGGTATGCAAACCCTTCCTCCTTTTTTAATAAAATGTGAAAATTCATTAAAGAACTTTTTTTTTAAAGAATGAGGAATATTTATTCTTATATATATATATATAAGATATGAAATATCCCAAATTCTGTTTAGCCCTCTTGGCTTAACAAATGCCAGAATGCTTATATTCAGATGCGTTGATAAAACTGTACTGTCTTAAAAATATGTTTATATTTTTAAAGTTATTTCTTATAATTTGAAAGAAATATATAGGAATTATGCAATAATAGTGAAATCAGCATATTTCATCGACTTCCTGGTATATTTTGACCTAAATAATCAAGTATGGCTGCCATCTACCAATACAGTTGTATTTGTCAATAATGAAATGTACTGGTTATGTGTCGCCCAACTGGGATAGTGATTAGTGACGTTGACTGCCATACTAAAAGGCCCGAGTTAAATCCTGGAGGAGGCTTGGATGTTTGTGAACATATAGTGTCTGTGTGGCATGGGGATGATCTAAATATACAGCGAGCCAAAAGTGCTCTCGAGAGATCGGTAGGGGATCCTCAAACCCATCCCTGTGGGCTGTTCTCCATCAAAATTAGGGGTGAAAGTGAACCAAGTCATACTGTCACCAGCAAGGTGCTCAAGGCTCTTGCCAACAACAAGCACACTCTTGCACTTCTTGCCACAATGAATTTTGTGGGCTTGTTCTGATGTTACTGTCAGACAAGTTAGGTAAGTCACAACAATACTGGTTGTGTTTTCCATTTCAAGTCTTATAAGAGGTGTGATTTTCTTTGTGTTTTGAAAATAGATGAAATTAATTTTTTAGGCAAGTAATAACATATTGAAATATTAACAAGATTATTTAACTGAATATGGGAGTATAATTTAATCACTTTGTTTTACTATATTCTTTTTGAATGAGGTAGCAATACATTTACAAAAATGCATAAATATACTGATTGTACAATAATGCAGATGCTGTTTATAACCAAGCTGTGTATATTTCATAGTAAAATGGATAACAATTAATAATTTTTTAGTGTTTACATTTGGGTAAATTTATGTTCAAATAATCCAAAATGTATATTTTATTAAAGGATTTTAATGGAACTTGAAAGAGAAGCTATAGATGCTGGCATTATTAGCCCTCCTACAGTTGATTTGCTTCCTTTCGAAAACTGCTGAGTATATTCCTGATTTTGGCTGTGTGATGATGATGTAGAAATAAATCATTATTTATTTCCACATTATTTATTTCCAGCGACAATTTTTTTTTTGTGTGTGTGTTTTGGAAAGGTATTAATATTTTTAATTATTCACAGAAAAGAAATATTCTTTTTTTTTTTTTCAGTTTTATTTATTTATCATTGTAGCTGAATATTTATAATATTT